TTAATAATCTCGTAAAGGCACAACGTTTGTTTTATCGACTCTTGATATTTTTTTAGTGATAAATTGCATTTTATCTTTTTTTTCGTTTTCGTATAATTTTGGAAAATAAAAAAATGTTTTTTTTTTCAATAATGTAGAGCATTTGAATTTTATAAAATTTATATTGACCTTCATTTGTTTACTTTATTTTTTAAATTACGTATACTAGTCAAAAAACTATTTTTATTCGTGCTTGTGGGTCCCAGGAGATGGCGTTGTTATTGGGTTCACGGATTTTTAGACTATTATATACGCATGCATGCAAACTATACTAGTTTTGTTAATTTTTGTACGACAAAAAACTGAAAACACCTTTTATTGCCTCTATTTTTTTTATTTCAACGTGAGTGTCGCATAAATGTTTTATTATTCAATTCCCCGTGGCTTTAGTGTTTGCTGTGCCATTACTGTCGTCCGCCATGTTGGATTGCTGACAGTTGGCTGACAGCATGTGTCACGTGATAGTGGCATTTCTACAATTGGATAAAGAGGTGATCAGTAAGCATTCGAGTAGTTGTGTTTGAATATTTTTTTTAATGCAATAGTTTTGTAGGTTAGCAGCGGCGAGAAGGTAGTTAATATAACAGAAAATTTAATACTGTACTGATTTAGTCTGTTTTAGTTCTCTTTTTATATTTAAACCAAATTATCTTCTTAATAAAAGTTGGCAATTTCTTCATACTGATTTTATAAATGCTAAAGTTTAGATGGATTGATGGATGGATGTTTGTAACCTAATCGGCTTAACGGATTTCGATGAAATTGGGTACAGATGTAGAGGATAGTCTGGAAGAACATACATATATTCCACGCGGGCGAAATCGCGGGCGAAAGTTAGTACATTTATAATTCCTTTAATCGATCATACTACTAGTTTATTTGTCTTGTTCACCCTTCTGTTAGATCTCTTCTCTCTTGGGTGACTAGAATGTGCAAAACAATTGAAGTAATGAATTAAATTTGTGTACCCCGCAGCGCTTGCAGTGCTGCACATTGGGACAGCGCTGTAATAATGAAGCATTCCTCGCTTGAAGCGGGATTTATTGCTTGACCGACTTTATACATGCTGGTAACATTAGTTCAAAGTGTCACATGACATGCACAAATCATGCTGTCTTTGTTTTTTTGTAGGAGAAGAAAAGAGATATTAAATTTTTACAGATGATTTGTTTGCGTTTGTTACTAATCTAGAAGTCTGGATAATTCATTACTCCTTTTCACTAATATCTATACTATTATAAATACACTTCTTTGTTGCCTAAGATGTCAGCAACTACAGCATATTTTTGAATAATTCCTTTTTAAATAAAAAGCCCTATATGTTTCAGGCTATATGTTTTCACGCCATTAAACTTAGTGGGTAAATATTTTGGTTAAAAATCCTAATGTGGGAAAGAGACCATAAGTTGCTGCCAATATTAAGAAAGCAAGATTGCTAAGATTTGTCATGTCATGTCATTTTGATATTTGCTATTAATAATTCGACAAAAGTCAGTAATAAAATAAAATTTTCATAATTGCACGCGGACGAAGTCGCGGGCGAATGCTAGTAATAAATATAGCAGTTGTTTATTTAAATTAACTGAAAGATTTGTCATAAATAGAGACAAAATATGTAGAAAATATAAGATTTCCTGTAACGAATACGAACAAAATAATTTCTAACGCCGACGTTTTTCTAAGAGCACTAAAATGTTTCATCTCGAATAAATTGAGTTTGTTAATTATTTTGTTACATGGTTACAGTTCGATGACTTTGGGTGCGGAAATGCGGCATTTTATTCTGCATTAGATAACATACGGGAAGGGAACGATTCTAATGTGCAGAGTTTTTGATGAGTTTTCTGGAATTCGTAGTTATCCCAATGGCTGAGATAGTTTGGGTAATTAGGACCTCATAGACTAGTGATAGGACTTTCGTAATACATAGTTCCCTTTTTTACCTAAGATTTTGTCTTACACTTCTTTGTTGTTGAAATCGCGGGTGTTAGCAAGAAAATTCACGGGTATGTATTCGTAACGTAATTGACAAAGTTTGAGATGTCGATATACTTTACGTCCAATATGGGGCTCATCACAAATCGTCAATGTCGTTATAAATACTTTTTCACAAAATTTCGTGTTAGTCCAAGGATAAATATTTTATTATCCCTCTCGTTATCTTTCTTTAGACAGATAACAAATTATTTCTATAAAGACTTAGACATTGGAAATGTAAGAAATCAAAAAACGTAATCTTATTTCTGCATGAATGGTATTTAAATTTCCAATCGCTAGATGGCACCACTAGTCTATTATCGATAGGGTTTAAAATTAGCATATCAAAATGAGTTCGGCGTTTCAATTTTTAAATGCATGATATATAGAAAACTAGCTTTCGTCCGCGACTCTGTCCACGTGAAATAAAAAAGACAAAAGTGAATAACCTATGTGTTCTTCCAGACTATCCCCTACGTCTATACCAAATTTCATCGAGATCCGTTCAGCAGTTTAGGCTACAAACTCTAACAAACATCCATCCATCTAAAC